GAGGGTACCAGCCGCCTAGCTCCTCTGACAGGCGCGGCCTGCAGGGCTGCTCCCACACCCCCCTTCCAGGCAGAGCTGCACATGCCCTTGGGTTCTGGTCCAGCAATGCTGCTGACGAAGGCGGCGCCTGTCCCTGACACCTGGCCCCTGCCTTCCCTTCCACCATCCCTCACCGGTAGCCAGCAAAGCCAGAGCCGAGGGAGAGGATCTGCAAGCCCGTCCCCCTCCCAGCGGCAGTGAGATGCAAATGGACCACTGGGCTCTGCTCCAGCAGGCTGGCTGGAGGCTGGCAGAGGACCCTTTCCTGCCCCAGCCGGAGGCGCCTTGGCACTGCAGGCGGGAGGGAGCGCAGCTCTTCGCCGTGACCTTGGTCACCCTCCTGCATGAGACCAGGACTGTTACGCGCCCGGGCTGTTTAGCAGGCTGTCTCTATGGCTACCGGAATAAACAGCAGATAAGAGCACGGCCGCCTCCAAGCAGCACTGCAGTCTGGAGACCAGGAGGGAGCCGGGCTTCTCCGGGTAGCCTGCCACAGCTCAGCAGAGGCAGTTCAGGCGGTAAGTCAGCAAAGCAGCAACCTGATGGGCTGCTTCTGCAGGAGGAGAAGGAGGGGGGTGCGGGCTGGCTGGCAACGGGGGGGGGGGGGGCTTGCTCGGTGCACTGGCTGCCTGGATTGGCATCACTGAATGGTGGCGAATTCCCCCCATCTGGGGGCGCAGAGCAGGGAAGCGAGCTGGCCTGCATGCCCAGGGGACTATGCCTGTGGGAAAGCCCCGGGCTGACGTGCAGGGATGGAGGGAGCAGGGCTGGAGCTCATCTGCAGCGGCCTGCGTGTGCTGCTTCCAGGGACTTAGCTCAGAAGCCAGCTCCCTTGGGTGAAAAGGAGGGACACGCCCTGCAGAGCAGGCTGGCTGGCTGCTCCCACAGACCAGCTTTGGAGATGGGGTGCTTGCCCATCGGCACCTCCCGCAGCATCGGGGCTGCCTTCAGTGCACCACATGGAGCAAACCACGGCACCCCGCGTGGGACCAGAACAAGGAAATGCCCGCGACAGGCACACTGCAGCGCACCCCTCCCCCACGCATCATCCCCGGCCACACCCAGACCCTGCATACACCTGCACCTTCCCCTCGGCCCTTGCACACGTTCCCCCCCAACACTGCACGTGTGCACCCCTCCGTGCACTCACCCCTGCGCACACGCTGACGTCACGGCCCACACGTGTGCCCTGTGCAAACCGCAGCAGCGATGCTTAGCGCTTTTCATCCCCGGGTCCCAAAGCACTTTACAAAAGAAGGGACGTACCCAAACTCCATTTCACAGCTGGGGAAACTGAGACCAGAGATGAGAGATGGGGGGAAGGATAGCTCAGTGGTTTGAGCATTGGCCTGCTAAAACCAGGGTTGTGAGTTCAATCCTTGAGGGGGCCATTTAGGGATCTGGGGCAAAAATTGGGGCTTGGTCCTGCTTTGAGCAGGGGGTTGGACTAGATGACCTCCTGGGGTCCCTTCCAATCTTGATATTCTATGATTCTATGAGCCAGGATCACCCAGCAGGACAATGGCAGAGCCAGGAACAGGAACCTAGCTCCCAGTACTGCACCTGATCCACTAGCAGGCTTCCCGCACACAAACATGAGCACAGGCCCTAAGACCTGCCCCGGGGCGTGGTGGCCTGTGTTGCTCTGGGGCCTGCCGCCCCCCACCCCCTTATGCCTCTGTGAATTCACTGAGTGCTCCCTGGAGCGGGCGTGACCCTGCGTGGTGCCTCTCTCAGGGCGGGGCACTGCAGCCCACTCGGCTCAGTATTGTCACACAGTGTCTGCAGTGCTCAGGGAGACAGAAATAACTGGTAGGTTTGTGTCCTGCTGGCAGCTTCCTCCTCTTACCACCTTCCCCTCCATGCAATCCCTATGCCCCCTGCTAGTCCACAGACCCACGGCTGCATGTGCGCTCACAGCCTGGAAAGGGGGACGGTCAGATTAGTTGTAGACGCTACTGACCCGAGTGCTGGTGTGACTGGCCTAGGGAGCAAGGACCTCTCCACCAACAGCAGATACAGCCTGGCAGCAGCAGGCCTCACATCTCCCCCTGCCAACCCTCCGACCCCTCACTCCCACACTGTCCTGCCCCTGGAGGGACTCCTCCTGGCAGGGATGTTGGCATGGGCAGTCTCTGGGGCCCTGTCGGTCCTGGCTAGCTCAGGGCTAATTGTGATAGTGAAAGAGAAGGCAGAGCCAGAAAGGGTGGCTTCGTGGTATATCAGGTGTGAAATAGCAGGTTATGATCCCTGGCAAAACAGGGCCCAATCCTGGCCCAGAAGACCAGCTCTTCCCAGGTGCTGCGTGTAGCTTCCAGGCTAGTCTGCTCAGCACAGACGGCAGTGCCCATGGCACTGTGCAGGAGACCCGGGGGTTGGACTAGCTGCCCTGTCCCCGTCCCTGTTGTGAACAGGGAGCTGCAGGCTGGCGAGTGGGCCCCCGGCTTGCAGGAAGCCGCATTGCAGTGGGGCTGGGTGGGGAGAATGTGTCCATTAGCCAAACTGTGGCCATCAACTCGGTTCAGTAAGACCAAAGTTGCCTGAGCCAAGGAGAGGAGCATGTTTGTTAGGCCCGCTTCCTGGGAGAGAGAGACTCAGTGCCAAGAGCCTTCTCTGGTCCCAGCCGCTGTGGGAACCTGGCTCCCTTTGGCTGCAACATGCTGCTTTGCTGGCAGGTTACGCACAAGCTGATTAATGGCCTGCAGCTGTTTCTGCTGCAGCAGGCCTGAGTGGATTCCCATTGGGAAGGCCAGACGCTATGAACTCCTTCCCTGTGCCCTGGCAGGAGTGCCCCAGATCCGCCAGGCGCCTGAAAATAGACAAGATGGGGAGTACCACAATTCCTGAGTGTGGCCACGAGGCCCTGCCCCGGATCTTGGGCATGGCTGTTGGCATGTCAGTGTGTCTCTGTATGCGTGTGTGCCCATGTGTGTACATGCATGTGTGTGTATGTATATGTGGGTGTCTATGAGGCTGTGAGTGTCTTTATGTGCCAGCCTAGGCTTTGTCCCCTGCAATTCCCCCATTGCCAGCCTCAGGGCAGCTGCCCTGATGGGGGCCTTGGTGCTGCCAGGCTGCCTGGGGCGTGAGAAGACATGATGCCGCCTGGAGCCCTGGTTCTAGCAGCACTGTAGGGGAATCAAGGCCCATGTGGCTGTCTGGACTGCTATGCAGTGCAGTTGTAGCTGTGCCGGTCCCCAGATATTTGAGAGACAAGGTGTGTGATGTGGGATCTTTAATAGCTGGGACGCCGGGAGTACCTTTCCCAGACCTGAAGACAAGCTTGGTGTGGCTCCCAAGCTTGTTCCCGCAACAACCAAAGTTGGCCCAGTAACAGCTATGACCTCACCCGCCCTGTCGCTCTGGCTCCGTCTGGACCGAGTGGATATGCTAGTAGTCCAGCCACGCCATGCCTCCCGCAGAAACAGCTCCAAGCAGCACAGCCCTCCCTAGCAACGGTCGCCAGGCAGCACAAACTCTGGCCACGCCAGCAGACAAGCCCACACGCCTGTTTTTGTTTAATGTCAGACTGTAACTAGGGCCCGGGGCTGGGCCATCCCCCCAGCCCAGCCCAGCCCAGCCCAGGCCAGGCCGGGTGACTCTGCCCTGTGGCTGGGTGTGTCCAGGGGCCTGGAAGAGAGCAGGAGTGGGGTGGGGCGTGGAGCTGGGAGCTTGCTGGGTTAAGGCTTTTCAAAACTGACCAGTGCCACTGGCTCCCCAGCTGGCGACAGCTTAAAGGGTCCCGAGGCTGAGAAGGTGCTGCCCCCTCATCTGTAAACCAGGCCCCTGTACGGCGTCCCAGGCTGGGCCCCCAGAACCCCTAGTCCCTGGTGCAAGGCTTGGCCCTGGCCCCCAGTGACAGACCTGCAGGCGCTGAAGTACTTTGCCCGGCTGTGACCGTTTTGATGCACTGTGGTCCCCCAATGCCCCTTTCACACAGGATGAGGCGCTTGCTCTGTTCCCACTCACCTGCACACTGCCTCTGCTCCCTGCGCGGTGACAGCTGGATTTGCCGCACGGAGGGCACGCCATAGGCAGAGCGGAGCTGCTGGGGCCAGTGCATGACGAGCGCCCAGCCCCACCCAGTGCCAGCCCCGAAGGAGGTGATGGGATGACCTGAAGATGCTGACCTGTGCTTTGCTAATGCACGGAGCCAGCGGCATTGAGAAGGTGGGCCAGGCCTGTGAGAATCAGAGTGGCCAGGGAGTTGGAGGTGGCTGGCCGCAGGCTCTGTGAAAAGTGAAGGGGAAGTGGCCTGGTGTTAACGGCTAAGAGGCGGGTGGCCATTGTGGAGTGCCGGCCGGTTGTTCCTCCCCAGCTCATGGCACTGAGGGGCTGGCTTCCGAGAGGCTGATCAGGCAAAACATGTCTCTTTAGCGCAACCGGTTTAGTTGTGAAAAAGCCTATTGGTGACAGCTTTCCAGGGGGTTAACAGACGTAGGAGGCAGGCGTGGAGGGGCCTGTGCCAAAGGGAGAGTATAACCTGATATTGAGCAGAAACGCTGATCAGCCAGTGCAGCGCTGGCTGAAGGAGGAGGAAAAGAGGCAGTGTTAAATCTGTCTCCATACACTGGGCCAACACTCCCAGTCCAGCGCTGCCAATGCCCCTCTCTCCTGACCCACAGTGCCAGCCTTGGGGCCCATACACAGCTCCGTCAACGCTCCCAGGTCCCGACCCGCAGCCCCTCTGCTATTCTAGCCCTGGGACCCACATGCACGGAGCTCTACAAGCCCCACAAGCCTGACCTTCAGCTCCCGCTGCTATCCTCGTCCTCGGCTGCCCACTTCCACATCTGCTGGTGCGGCTTCGTCGTGATGGGGCCAGGCTTTTGTGGGAGGCAGCAGTAAAAGGGGTGGTGCAGGGTGCAGGGGTGCACAGATGGCACGTACAGTATCTGGTGTGATTGCTGGAGTTTGCGTAGTAACTGGATCCATTTCTCCTCTGACTACCAAAGGTCAGCATGGCTGGAAGCACTGATGTGGCAGCTCTGCAAGCGAGCTTCCGGAAGTTTGCAATCTATGGAGACACCAAAGCTACAGGGCAAGAAATGACTGGGAAAAACTGGGCCAAACTGTGCAAGGAGTGTAAAGTAATGGACGGCAAAGGGGTCACCAGCACGGACGTCGACATCGTCTTCTCCAAAGTGAAGTAAGTGGCTCCCTTGCGTCCCTTCCCTAGAGCCTGCTCTACATCAGTGGCGTGACTCTTGGAGCTTTGCAGGGCCAGCATCGCCAGGCCACTCAGTTCTGTGTGCTGCCCGCTGGGTCACCCATGGGCACACTCCCAGGTCATTCATTTCAGCCCCCTCCAGCCCTGTCAGACTCTGTGTGGAGCTTAGAGGAGCCTGGCATCCAGGACAGAGCTTCTTGTCTAGCAGCTACCGGCCTCCGGACAACCCTCCCCACATCTTATTCATTGATATTTGCAGCACATTGCTGCACATTGTTACATGGCTGCTTAGCTTTCATACACAGAGATACACACACACGTCTTTAGCCCTCGTTGTTGAAAAGGGTCTTGCCTATGGGACCCGAGTGTAACAGATGCCGTGACGTCTGAGTCTCACACGTCCCTGAAACCATGGCGCCGAGAGGGGTAAACAGCCCCATTTAACCCTGTAACCTAAACTGGCTATTTCAATATACACGTGAATGACTGCATTGCTGATCATTTGAGCAGAACCAGTCAGCTCGCAGGCTTATCCCACCCACCCAACCTGCCCCTCGCACCTTCCCAGGGCCAAAAGTCCCAGCTTTGCCCTGACAAGGTCGGTGGGGCAGTTTCTCGCTCCCCATTAAGAAATCGATGGCATCCTGACACCTGGAAGTTTGGGGCAACAAGTTGAGACTATAAAGAAGGTGAGGGCTGCTGGATTAGTCATTGGCACGTCGGATTCCGTAGGAGCCTTGATTTAAATGGTATCTGAGGCTGCTGCAGAACATCCGGAATCCGCCGTAGAGTCTGCCAAACCCACAGCGCTTGCAGCGGCGTTTGGGAGCGGCTGTCCAGAGTGTGTGGGGCCTTCGATACAGGTTACTATGTAAAGATGATGCCAGAGGAGCCCTGGGCTAGATCCGCAAAGGGAAATGAGCACTGTGACGCCCAAGGACGCACCCTGCCAGCTAGTGAATCCACAGGCTTGAGTCAGGCGTGCAGGAATGGGGAGAGTTAGGGCTTTTCTACATTTAAAATGCTCCAGCAGAACAGCTATGCCGCTCTACCTGCACTGCTGCAGAGCTTCAGTGTAGACACTACCTGTGCAGATGGGAGGGATTCTTCCGTCAACCTAGTGCTGTCTCCAAAGAGCACTTCACTATGCCATTCAGGGGTGTGGATTTTCACACCCCTGTGCCACGTAGTCGTGCTGACTTAATTGTCTAGTGCAGACAAGGCCTTAGGTGCCTAAAGATGGGATCCACAAAAACCCATATGCTCAGCAGGAAGCTGCCTAAGCTAGACAGCAAGGGTAGGAATTCCGGGAATTAGGAGCCTAAGTGTGGGCTGCTCAGAATTCACAGCCATGAAGTTAAGCACCTAAACCAGGTCACTCCTTTCTTGCAAACCAAGCCAGTGCCCGTCCTATAACCAGTAGTCCAGAGGCTGGAGCACTCACCTGGGCTGTGGGACGCCGACTTCAAATCCCCTCTCTGCCTGCTGTGGTCCAAAGCTCCTGTGCCTCCCTGGGGAGTGCCCTAGCCACTGAGGTCTGGGGTGCGCTAGACCCAGGCTCCTGCTGGACCTTGTACCACTTTATGTACAATACTTAAACACTCACTTGAGCAGGGACTTCAACTTGAGTCTCTGCCCTCCCAGCTGCGGGCCCTAACCTCCAGGCTACAGCGCCATTCCCATAGCCTCCAGCCCCCTGCAGACCCCCATGAAATCTTACATGATGAGTAAGTCCCTCTCTGCCCTCCCTCCCAGCTGTCCCACCGTTCCCTGGGAACAAGATTCTGCCCATCTCATCACAAAGGAGTTTTTCAGTCTTATAAAGTATTTAACCCTAAATGTTACCAGGCTGCATCGCTGCTGGCTCAGTGCCGCAAGGGTTGGGGATGGGTAGATGGAACAGGGATGTTTGCCCCCGGTCATCTGCCTGGAAACAAGAGCTTGTCCAGTGACACGGCTCTCGCCAGCAAAGGGGTCAATGCCTGCCAGGGCCCGGCTCCTGCAGGCGCATCTTGGACTGCAGTGCCTCTCCACTATCCCTTCCACATCCACATTGACCCAGGGCTGGATGAGGTCGCACTCTGAGGACAAGGCCTTGACCCTAGGGATTAAAGGTCAATGAGCAAGAACTTCCTGTATCAGTTGGTGTGTCAGTTCTCGTGTCTCCTGCAGTCTCAGCCAGAGCTAAGATTCTTCTCTTCTGTCCGAAACTGTTCTGTAGAACAGCTGCCAGGTTCTGCTCAGCTGTGGCTGCATTTCTGGAGGAGAGACCCCTGTGTATCTAAAGCAATTTACATGTCAACTATTTCAGTAACTGGTGCATCAGAGTTTCCTCTTTTCCCTCAAAGACTACCTTCTCTGGGTATCAGGGCTTGTCACCTGGCTCTCCCTGCCACAGCTGGGGATACGAGTGCTATTTGCAAATGCAGCCCTGGTGTCTGTCCTGCAGCAGCTACCATTCTAGCGACGTGTTTGCACTAGGTCACTCCCCAGCCCTTGTGTCTTGCAGAGGGAAGACAGCCAGAGTCATTAGTTACGAGGAATTCAAAAAGGCCCTAGAGGAGCTGGCCCCAAAGAGGTTTAAGGGCAAGAGCAAGGAGGAAGCATTCGACTCCATCTGCCAACTGGTGGCAGGGAAGGAACCGACCAACGTAGGCGTCACTGTGAGTGACTGCTCTTTTCGGACGCGTAGAGCAGGAGTGTGGGCTCTGTCTGGGGACATGCAGATGCTGCTCTGGGCCACGGGGAGCCCCACAAACGTCACATAGCAAAGCAGCGTGTCCCGGAAGAGGCAGGGATCTGGGAGGGCTGTGACAACTTAAGGGAGAGAATACGGGGCAGGGCCCTGAGCAGTGGGGACAGCAGGGGGTCCAGAGAGTGCATGGGGAATGGAGGTGTCTGGAACAATGAGGGACAGGGCGGTGGAGTGAGCCAGTGTGATGGTCTACGGGGTATGGACAGGGCAGGGCCTGGGAAGGGCACACAGGGAATGGAGGGGCCTGGGAAGGGCACATGGGGGGACGGAGGGGCCTGGGAAGGGCACATAGGGAATGGAGGGACATGTGGGGGACGGAGGGCCTTGGGAAGGGCATGTGGGGGATGGAGGAGCCTGGGAAGGGCACGTGGGGGATGGAGGGGCCTGGGACGGGTACGTGGGGCACGGAGGGGCCTGGGAAGGGCACGTGGGGGACAGAGGGGCTTGGGAAGGGCATGCGGGGGCCGGAGGGGCCTGAGAAGGGCACGTGGGGGATGGAGGGGCCTGGGACGGGCACATGGGGGCCGAAGGGGCCTGGGAAGGGTACGTGGGGGCCTGGAGGGTCCTGGGAAGGGCATGTGGGGGATGGAGGGGCCTGGGAAGGGCACATGGGGCACGGAGGGGCCTGGGAGGGGCATGTGGGGGCCGGAGGGGCCTGGGAGGGGCACGTGGGGGATGGAGGGGCCTGGGACGGGCACATGGGGGATGAAGGGGGCTTGGGATGGGCACATGGGGGCCGGAGGGGCCTGGGAGGGGCTATAATTACTTCTTTGTGTTTGACTCCCCTGACCCATTTTCTTGCTGACAGAAAGCTGCGACGGGCGGGGCAGTGGACAGGCTGACGGACACCACCAAGTACACGGGCTCGCACAAGGAGCGCTTCGATGAGAGTGGCAAGGGCAAAGGGAAGAGTGGGCGGGAGAACATCGTAGACACCAGCGGTTATGTGGGGGCCTACAAGAATGCTGGCACCTACGATGCAAAAGTGAAGAAATAGGGACAACTGGAAGTGCCACTGACCGTTCCAGGTCCAGGCACCCCACAGCCTCTGGGCCTTCAATCACATCAGCCTTGGGAACTGGCCTTAATGGCACAGGCCTCCTGAGACTGTGCTGGGCCCAGCTCCTAGCCACGGAGCCAAGGCTGACAGGCCTCTTGTCACCAAGGGCTGATGTGATTAGAAACTGACCTGGCCTTGTACTTTGCTCCCAATGTTACATCAACTCCAGATGTATTGTGAGCCGTGTCCCTCCTGCTGGCACTAACGAGACCTTCTCCCCTGTGCGCCCCCAGGGCGCCACGCCCCACCTGCTGGCACTAACGAGACCTTCTCCCCTGTGCGCCCCCAGGGCGCCACGCCCTCTGCTGGCACTAACGAGACCTTCTCCCCTCTGCGCCCCCAGGGCGCCACGCCCCTCCTGCTGGCACTAACGAGACCTTCTCCCCTCTGCGCCCCCAGGGCGCCACGCCCCTCCTGCTGGCACTAACGAGACCTTCTCCCCTCTGCGCCCCCAGGGCGCCACGCCCCCTCCCCCTCTGCCCCTGCTGGCACTAACGAGACCTTCTCCCCTGTGCGCCCCCAGGGCGCCACGCCCCTCCTGCTGGCACTAACGAGACCTTCTCCCCTGTGCGCCCCCAGGGCGCCATTCCCCTCCTGCTACCTTCTCCCCTGAACCCTCCTAGGCCCTTCTGCTAGCGCTAAGATGCCTTCTCCTCTGTGCCCCTCGCAAGGCCGCCACATTCCTCCCACTCGCTACGAGGCCTTCCCTTACTCGTGCCACCGGGTGCCTGCCTGTATCTCTTCCACTAGTGAGGTCTTCTACTCGCTACAGATGCCAATTTCCCTCCTGCTAGTGACAGATGGGCCTGTTCCAACCCTATGTCCCTTCAGCGAAGGCCAGGTCTACACTAGGCTCGTATAACTATGTCGCTCAGGGGTGTAAAAAATCCACCCCTCACCCACAGCAATGCAGTGACACCGACCTAACCCCCAGCACAGACAGCACTGTCAACGGAAGGGCGTCTCCCATCCGCAGAGCGACTGCCCCTCAGGGCGGTGGGGTCCCCACGCTGATGGGAGAAGCCCTACAGCAGAACAGCTGTACGGTGCCACTTTTAAATGTCGACCTGCCCTAAGTTTAACGACACCTCCTCCCCTCTGGGCACATCAGTCACCAGCGTTACCGCAGCCCCTTCTCCTCAGGGCACTTCACTCGTCAGCATTAATATGATCCTGCATGCGCCTTCCCTGGAGAACTGGCCTGAATTGTGTTTAACCACCACCCTTCGGTCTCCTCAGGCCCCATCCTCAGACGCCTGCCTTCTTGGTGGAGACACAGCCAAAGGCTCCCCTGCTCTGTAACCTGGCTCTGCAATAAACCTCCCCCCGTTTTGTACTCGCGCCCCGTGTGTTTTTTCAGAGGGAAACAATGCAGGCAATTCAGGGCTGAGGCAGAGGAGGCTGGTTTTGACCCAGGATCAGATCAAACAGGCCAGTCAGTCGACTTGGCTCTGAGTCAGACTCTAGGCAGGGAGTGATGTGGGCTTGGCCCTGGTCACCTCATGACTTTGGCAAGCTCCTGGCCACCCATGTGCCCCGATGTTGCCAGAGCAACCGGAGAGACACACAAACATTCAGGCACCTGGCTCCAGCTGCTGCAGTGTTTGCAACCAAACACATGAGCTCCTGGTAACACTCACTGGGAACTGGGTCTTGATTGGAACCATCACATCCCATGGACGTGGCCCAGCATCTGTCCCCCTGCCCCACCACCTTGCTGTGCTTCAGACAGGGCTCTAAAGCCTCTAACACACAGGCTTAAGGCCTAGATCCTCAAAGGCACCTAACTCCCAGGTGCCTAGATACCTGGGGCTAGGGCTCTGGCCTCACACCCACTAAGAGCAGTGCTGGAATTGCTTCCCCAGACTGATGCGTCTATCTCTTCTGAAGTCACAGGTTAGAGGAATCCCAGAGCCACCAAGCCAGAGAGGACAGCAGAGTGGGCCAGAATACTGAGGTCAACAGAGACCAGGCCTTGGGAATACTGTGTGTCTGGGAGCATAGGCACCAACTTCTCCTGGCGCCGGTGGGTGCTCGTGCCCCCCGGCCCCGCCCCGACTCCACCCCCCCAACCCCATTCCAAACCCTTCCTCAAAGTCCCTGCCCCAATTCTGCTCCCTCCCTGTCCCTATTGGACTCCTTCCCCAAATCCCCGCCGCAGCCCCACCTCTTCCCTGCCTCCTCCCCAGAGCACGCCGCATTCCCGCTTGTCCCCCCTCCCTCCCACAGCTTGTTATGCTGTGAAACAGCTGTTTTGTGGCGGCAAGTGCTGGGAGGAGAAGTGGGGAAGGTGCTCTCAGGGGTGAAGGTGGAGGTGAGCTGGGGTGGGGAGCTGCCGGTGGGTGCAGAGCACCCACCAATTTTTCCCCATGGGTGCTCTAGTCCTGGAGCACCCACAGAGTCGGTGCCTATGTCTGGGAGTGATGATGCTCGGCTCTCCCATCTTGTGCCGTCTCATGCCACTGCCTCAGGAAGACACTGCTGGGCCACAGGACTGATCAGCTTAGAAAAGAGACGACTGAGAGGGGATATGATAAAGGTCTATACAATTATGAATGCTGTAGAGAAAAAGTGTTATTTACCCCTTCACATAACAAAAGAACCAGGGCTCACCTGATGAAATTTATAGACAGCAGAATTAAAACAAACAAAAGGAAGGACTTCTTCACACAACACACAGTCAACCTGTGGAACTTGCTGCCAGGGAATGTTGTGAAGGCCAAAAGTATAACTGGGTTCAAAAAAGAACTAGATAAGTTCATGGAAGATAGGTCCATCAATGGCTATTGGCCAAGATGGTTAAGGACGTTACCCCTGAGTGTCCCTAAATCTCTGACTGCCAGCAGCTGGCCCTGGAGAACAGCAGACGGATCTCTCGATAATTGCTCTGTTCTGTTCGTGCCCTCTGCGCATCTGGCACCAACCGTTGTCGGAAGACAGGATACTGGGATAGATGGACGATTAGTCTGACCCAATATGGCTGGTCTTATATCCCCTTTTCCATGCTTGTGTGCCTTGGAGGAATTCAAGGCATTGAAGCCCTGCTGTACTGAGAAAGCTGCTCCCCTGATGCACCACTTCAGCTCACCAAAACATTTCTCATCTGGATTTTCCCCGCTCATCAGAAATGTGGCCTTAGCTGAGTTACTATTTATTTAGCATCTGAAGTGTGCTAGTAACTTTACTGAGCAGAAAACACATCCTGGAGAAGTCACAGTCTGCCAACAGGTATAATAATGTCATCATCCCAACTGAGTTGGGAGGAGCAAGGAACAAAGGGAGGAAGCACTGGGGGAAGGGGAGAGGAGCAGGGGAAAGGAGAAGAATGGTAAGGAAAGCATGATGAAGGATAATCTGATGCTAGGTTCCTGACTCAGCATTGCCTGTCCCCGTAGCTCCTGCTCCCTTAGTATGGCAAGTAGCTCTGCAGCAACTAAGCCAACCGGTTGATTAACTATCCTTCTCTCCATTAGCTTCTTTGTGGAGGCTAGTTCCTGGCACTTTCCCTCCTATCTCGCAGGCCAGAGACTCCTGACAACTGTGCAAAACACCCCTGGGCAGCAAGTACCCTACCAAGTAAACAGCCTTCTCAACAAGAAGTCAGATTACACTATGTGTCCCACCCAGAGTTCTTTGCAGGTGGCAAGTGGCCTCCTGTGTCAAAAACTTGGTTCACCAAGAAGTGTCTGTTTGGATGGCGGAGGCTACTTTAGGATGTTCTATTCTATTGAGGTTCTTATAGGGAGTTCCTGCTAGGAAACTTGCTTGCGTGAGATTTTCTCTCTGAAGTGGTGTAGACAAGCCCATGAGTTATCGCATATGCATCCAGACTGAGCCTGTGAACCTGCTGAGGTTTGCCCACCCCTGCAGCGTGTTGTGGAAATGAAGTACATAAAGCGTGACCCAGATTTCCAAATTTTAGTCACCCAGCTCTACGGTGTCAATGGTTTCAGTTTCCATAATCTCATAATTTATATATGGATAGAATTTCCCTGTGCATCTCTCTTTCTTTTTCTGTCTAAACTATAAAAATGTCCCAAAAGTTGACAGCCAAGAATAACACCTTGTTTTCCTATGGATAGTGGCCATTGCACCCTGGCGTTCATCAAGTTCTCAGGAGAGTGTGAAAACCACAGGAGTTAAGCTAGGTAGAAATAACATCCTGTATGACTTGTAGAAAGGGAAAGGTTCTATGGGTCAAACTTTCTGATACTCCTAGCAATTCATGCCAACTAGCTTTCAGCCCAGATTAAGAACCGTATAGTTGTCTGCCTTACGAAGCACACATCCATCTCTCTGTATGCGGTTAACCTGCCTTTTCCCTTCAGAATAATGTCTTGTAGTGTAAGTTCCTGAACGATGTGAAATGAAAGGTGTGAAAATATAACCAATTAATCTATGGACTAGGACCACTACATTTAGAGTAGCTAGAAAGGATTTTGTTGGCAATTATGTGAAAAGCAAAGCACACAAAGGATGTAAGTTGTAAAGATGAAAGATGTAAGTACCTAACCAGGGTCTAGTTTTGATGTAGTAAAAGAAATTGCTTGAAAAAGGGGGTATTCCATTTAAGAGTCTGGCTAAGACAGAAATACAGTCCTCGAAAACAATGGAACGTAAAAAAGCTTCTTAAGAAGAAAAAGGATAAAAGATATTTGTTACACACTGTTGCCATCTACTGGATATTGATGGAAGCAGCAATAAAAGTGAGAACAGAAACCAGAGACCCCTTGGCAAGTGTCCAAAAGAAATGAGGACCATTCTCCTCCGACAAATCCCCAAAGAGGGTATATAAATGGAAGTTACAAAGGTGGATCTCAAAGTTTTGCTGAACCTCCATGGCTAGCCTCTCCCTTCCTCCAGGACTAAGAAGAGAAGTTTGCTGAACCCACAAAAGAAGCTGCAGAATTCAAAAGTGCTACCAGATACTTGGCCCAGCCCTGTGGCCAGCTCTCCCACTCCTAGGGTTACAGGCCTGAGAAGAAGCAGTGACCCTCTATTTCAGAGATTAAGTAACTGAAAGTTTCCTTACTGAGTCTGCACTTTGCAGTGAGACCCCGAGGAACCATATGTGTGATTTTAACTGAATAATGCTAGCTGTATGGTGCTCCATTGTAAGTCCAAGTAAACTGGCCCAAGAGACTCTCAAACAATTTGTAAGCAATTGCCTTTGATGTTTTAAATTAGACCCTTTTATACCCAACACTAGAAAGAGCAGGGACCATGTTGCTAAGAGTGCCTTAAGACCCATAGATTACAAGGCCAGAAGGGAACACTGTGATCATCTAGTCCAGCAGTTCTCAAACTTCATTGCACCGCGACCCCCTTCTGACAACAAAAATTACTACATGACCCTGGGTGGGGATGGAGTGAGGGAATTCCTGGAGCCTGAGCCTGTGCCCCACCACCCTGGGCTGAAGCACTCAGGCTTTGGCTGCAGCCCCCAGCGGTAGGGCTCAGACTTTGGCTTCAGTCCCAGGCCACAGCAAGTCTAACGCTGGTCCTGGCGACCCCATAAAATGGTGTCTCGACTCACAGTTTGAGAACCCCTGATCTAGTCTGACCTCTGTATAAC